CTCCAGCCGCAGCAGCAGCAGCGGCAGCAGCAACAAGAGCCGCAGCTGCCGCGGGCCCAGTTGCAGGCCCTACTCGAGCTAGCCACGCTGCTGTCAAGCGGGACTGAGCAGCAGCAGCAAGCGCTGATGCTGTTGGCAGAGACTGCTGCTGCAGCGAGCAGCAACGCCAGCAGCAGCATCAGCAGGAGCTGCAAAAGCAGCAGCAGCAGCAACAGCAGCAGCAGCAGCACTCAGATGGAGGCTCAAGTCACAAGAGCTGCTGCTCTCGCGACCATAGAGAGAGCTCTTGCTGCTTTAACTGGCAGCCACCAGGACCTGCCTGGAGCAGCAGCAAACGCGTCTGCAGCAGCAACAGCAGCAGCGCCAGCACCATCGGCAGCAGCAGCAAGGACGACGGCAGCAGCAGCAGCAGCAAGAGCAACAGCAGAGGATTTACCTTCCGCAGCAGCTTTGCAGCTGCTGTGCCCCGCAGCTGCGGCCCCCCAGACCAAACCACAAAGGGGCCCCCATCTTTGGGGCCCTCTTGTGCAGTTGCTGCAGCAGCAACAGCAGCAACAGCAAGCCAGAAGCAACGAACAGCAGCAGCACCTCAGCGATCCTGCTGCTGCTAGACGACTTATGTGGGAAAGAAACTCAGCGCTGCACGGCTGCAACTCGCTCGAAGAAGCTGCAGCAGCAGGGGCAGCAGCAACGCCCTCAGTGAAGGCTGCGGCAGCAGCAGCAGCTGCTGCTGCTGCTGCAAGCGCTTCTGCAGCAGCTTCAGTTGAGAGAGCAGCAAGAAGCACTGCAGCACCAGAATACTAGCAAGGAGAGGCTCCCCACAGCCTCGACTTCAGGTGTACAGACACCTCCCCTTAATGCTGCACTTCAGCAGCAGCAAAACAATGACTCAAAACTTTCTTACTTTCAAAACTATGTGGGGCCCCCCAGGGGCCCCAAAGGCTGCCTGGGGGCCTCAAATACCCCGGGGGCTCCCTGGGGGCCCCCCGAGGGTCCTTCAGGGCCTCAAGACTCCCACTGAATTTGCAGCGCATTGCAGCAACTGCAGCAGCTGCAGCAGCTGCTGGAGCAGCTGCAGCAGCTGCAGC